GGGGCCCCCAATGGGGCCACGAAGCGTGTGAGGGGTGTGCCGACATGGGTGTGCGGAACGCAAGCGGGCACACCCATTCGGACCTTCAGCGGAGTTCCCTATGGGGCCACGAAACGTGTGAGGGGTGTGCCGAAATGGGTGTGCGGGACGCGTGCGGGCGGCGGCACTGGGGCCTTCGGTGGAGCCCCTTATGGGGCCACGAAACGTGTGAGGGGTGCGCCGAAATGGGTGTGAGGGACGCATGCGTGCACACCCACTGGGACCTTCGGTGGAGCTCCCCATGCGGCCACGAAGCGTGTGAGGGGTGTGCCGAAATGGGTGTGCGGGACGCATGCGGGCAAACCCATTGGGACCTTCGGTGGAGCTCCCGATGGGGCCACGAAGCGCGTGAGGGGTGTGCCAAAATGGGTGTGCGTGACGTACGCGGGCACACCCACTGGGACCTTCGGTGGAGCTCCCTACGGGGCTACGAAACGTGTGAGGGGTGTGCCGAAATGGGTGTGCGGGACGCACGCGGGCACACCCACTGGGACCTTCGGTGGGGCCCCCAATGGGGCCACGAAGCGTGTGAGGGGTGTGCCGAAATGGGCGTGCGGGACGCATGCGGGCACACCCACTGGGACCTTCGGCGGAGCTCCCTCTGAGGCCGCGAAACGTGTGAGGGGTGTGCCGGAATGGAGGAGGGAGGAGGGAGGAGGGGGAGGAGGCAACGGGAGGAATGGGGGACGCGGGGCGCTGTCTCTTCAGTACGAGGACCCAACACCACAGGATGGTTGGGAAATAGTCTGGGGACGATGTTTGACAGTTTTTGAGTATTTTAGGGTATTTTTTGGCAACTGTAATTTTTCGTCCAAAATTCCCGTGTAGGGGGACAGGCCCGACGTAAATCTACTCGGACCCCATCCAGGAGGCCTCTACGATGGAAAAGCCGCGAGGGCGGACGTCGGGCCCAAGGTTCGAGCACCGCCGCGGTCGTCAAAAAGGGCACGGGCTTCTCTCGCGGGGACGGCCCCCTGGCTCTCCGCCCTGCCGCCGGCTCTGGCAGGCCTGCACCGTGCACGTCTCTTTTCGCGCGTGCTTGGGGCGGAGGCTGTCGAGATGCTTGGTGCCTGGCAGAGGCCGCGACCTCTCTTTTGGCCCGGCGCGCCGCGTGCGTGCGGGCTCCTGGGCAATCAGCCAGGGCGTCCTCTTCGTCCAGGTCGTCGCGCTCAGAGCGCGTCCTCTGCAGCTCGAGCCCGGCCTCCTCCACGGGGCAGCTCTCGTCGTCGTCGTCGTCGTCGTCGTCGTCGCCGACCTTGGCCGTGCGCGCCTTCGCCTCATCGTGGCCAGCCGCGTGCGGTGGCCCGGAGCCACCCGCCCTTTGCCGAGCCCCGCCAGGCTGGGCGGGAGGCGCCAGAGCCAGCCGCGGCTCTGCCAGCTGCCCTGCGCGAGCGCCAGCCGCCTCGGGGGGGGTTCCTGAGGGCCACTGCCACCTCCTCCTCCTCCTCCTCCTCCTCCTCCTCCTCCTCCTCCTTCTCCCCGCCGAGAACCCAGCCTCGACCGCCAGCGCGTCGCCGATCCTCTCCTTCACGTGCCGGGAAGTCGGCGACGTCACTCTCCGTGGCTTTGGCGACGTCCCCAGCGGTCACCCCCCGCCTGCACCACTTCCCTCGCGCGCCCAGTCAGCTGGTTCGCGGACCTCGGACCGGAGAGGCTCCTGTCGTCCCTCTGGGTGCCGGCAGCGCACCAGCGCAGGTCCCGCTCGAAGGATAGGAGCGAGTCCAGACTCCATCCCAAGGCCCAAGTCGGGGCCGAGCCCCCGACGTCTCCCGGTCGTCCGCAGTCGTTTGGCACTTCGGCCCTTTCGCGAAGGGACATGGAGCTCTGACCTTTGTCAACGCTCCGCAGCCACGTGATAGCGAAGTCTTCAGAATTGACAGCTCGAGATTCGATTTGGTGAAAGATCGAACCCTTTTCCTTTTCCTGTGCGCGGCTGCAACGCCTGCGAGAATGCCCACTCCTCTGCGCGCTCAGGCACCAAGCCCGATGACTACGGGAGCATCAACAGTGGACAGAGCATGCGTCTGGCTTTTCATCGAAGAAGAAACAATGACATAAACATAAACTTTTGGCGCTCCGCGCGGTTTTCTTGGCCGGCGCCGCCCTTGGCGCGCTCCGCGCGCCAGGGAGGGGGGTTCAGCGCAGATCCAAGAAATCCGCGTGGAGCGCCAAGAATATATGCTTATGGCGTTTTTTTTCCTCTATGTCAATCACCCCCTCCTCCCAGGAGTAGGAGGAGGAGGACTCCATGCAGCAGACTTCGCAGCCCGCCCTGCCTTGATTCGTCCGACCCGACCCGAGCCAGCGGACCACCTCTCGCTGATCCTGGCCAGGCCCATCCTGGACCCAGGCCCGACCTAACCCTCGCCCTCCTTCCCCACGATCACTGCGGCCCCCCCCCCACTGGCAGGGCAGCAGTGGCGCGCGCCGCCCCGCGGCGGCGCTTGCGCCGCGGCGCCGAGCTGCGACGGCGGCAGCACCTGCTGCCCAGGCGGCGAGACGGACACGGACACGGAGGCGGGGGCCAAGGCCTCGGGGCACTTCGGCGGCGAGCTCGAGGGGGAAGCGAGAGCAGGGTCGACCAGAAAACAGACGACGCCGCCCAACCTGCGGCCCTCCATGTTGCGCTACGGACCATCGGGTGCCGTAGCGTGTACCACGCAGGAGCCCAGGCCAGATTTCCTGGTTTGCGTTGAGCCCCGCGGGGCCCCAGGTGGGGTGGTGCCGTTTGTTTTCTGGTCCAAAGGGGCGGGCTTTCTCAGAACGCTCGGAAGTGCCCCGGCCTTCGGCGAAATTTTCTGAGCCTTCCCCGAGGACAGAGAAAACCTCTCAGAAGGCCCGAGGCCTTCTGAGAAGCCCCGCCGCCTTCTGAGAAGGCCTTCTCCTTCTCACTACCCCCCTCGCTCGCCGCCGACCAAAGGGTGAGCAGAAGAAACGGCATAAGCAGAAACTTTTGGAGGTCCGCGCGGATTTCTTGGACCGGCGCCGGAGGCCCCTTGGCGCGCTCCGCGCGCCGGGGAGGGGGCTTCTGGCGCCGATCCAAGACGTTCGCGCGGACCTCCGAGAAGTTATGCTTACGTTTTTTTGTGTGGTTTTCCCAGAACAGCATCACAGCTGGCACGAGGGTTGAGAGCAGCCCTGGCTTTGGATGGGCACCCCAGCGCTCTTCGTGTTTGGGATTTTCACTGTCGGCCCGCTCATCGCGGAGCTCTTCCACGCCTGAGCGCCCTCTCCCTCCTTCCCTCGCGCGGTCGCCCTCGTCTTCGTTCTCTCCCTCTTGCGCGCCAGGCAATTTGCCGATGGGTTGCCCCGATTGGCCCCGCGCTGGTGCGGACTGCCTCTGCCTCGCCGCTGACGAAAAAAGTGTTTGGCCTCCCCACGCCCTCGGGAGGGGGCGCGGGGAGGGACCCAACTCCGACTCAGGACGTCTGCGCGTATCTCCAGAGCTTTCTGTTTGGGCCGTTTGGCCCCTCAGGGGAGGAGAATCCAGGGGGATGGTTCGAGGTTCGAGGAGATATGCTCAGGTCTTTGAGCGTCTTTGGCGGGTGCCTCCACAAGTCTCCCTGGACCTCCTTGGACCTCTGGATACCCAGACGGCGGCGACGGAGGAGCAGGAGGAGGAGGAGGAGGGGGAGGAGGAGGAGGAGGAGGAGGAGAAGGAGGATCGAGGAGGATTATTCAGGGGCTTACGCCACACCGCCGACCCGTTAGAACCCGTGCATGCTGAGATTGTACTTGATCGTAGGAAGTCGCTCAATGTGTTGCTATTCTTATTCTCCTCGTCCTCTTCTTCCTCCTCCTCCTCTTCCTGCTTCTGTCCTCTCCTGTCCTTTCTCTCTTTCCGCTTCCCCCGCTTCGAACCCCAGCCCTTTTCGATCTCACTCCCTCCTCCCCCTCCGTATCCATGCTCGTTCATCCTACGACAGCGCCGCCCAGAAACCCCCAGAGCTTCAAATACCGTTGTCGCTGCGCCTGCGATGGGGCCTCTCGCCTCGCGTCGGGGATTCCCGCTCCGTGGAGGCAGTTTGAGGCCGCTTGGGGGCCCGTGGGGAGCCTCCACCCGGGGTCTTGTTTGGGCCTCTTGAGGACATCTCGGGGCCCCCCAGGGCCGTCTTGGGCGCCTCTTGGGCCGTCTTGGGGCCACCTTGGACCGTCTTGGGCGCCTCTTGGGCCGTCCTGGGGCCATCTTGGGCTGTCTCGGGCCCCCCTTGGGGTCCTCTTGGGCTGTCTTGGGCGCCTGTTGGGCCGTCCCAGGGCCGTCTAGAGCCGTCTTGGGGCCCTCTTGGGGACCTCTTGGCCCGTCTTGTGTCGATCTTGGAGTCCTGTGAGGCAGCATGGAGACGTTTGGACAACAATGAAAAAACGATCATGTGCAGTACATGCTGTGTTCTGCAGGGAAAGGGATGACTATTGCTTGTCGGGGCCCGCAGAGAAAGGGAAGATGGAGGCTGCCTGTCTCTGACCGCACTCGTTGAATCCAAACTACTGTGTGGACTGTCCGCCGGATGTTGTTTGAAAGCTGATTTGCGGAGGCTTGAAGCCAAGTGTCTGAGACTTGTCCTGTATATCCCGTCATCCTATGTCACGCGGATCTCGAAAACAACGGTCCTGCAAAGGGCTGGCGTGCCGTCCGCTTCACGAGTAGGAGGAGGAGGAGGAAGAGAAGGACGAGGAGGAGGAGGAGGAGGAGGAGGAGGAGGAGGAGGAGGAGGAGGCGGAGGAGGAGGAGGCGGAGGAGGCGGAGGAGGTTGAAAAGGATGAGGAGGCAGGAGGAGCAGAATTAGACAGGATGAGGCTGGAGGAACACGCGGGAGGCAGGATAATGATGATGCAGGAGGAAACGGAGGAGGTAGGAGGAGCGGGCAGGAGGAGTTTCCAAGACACATGGAATATATCATGATTTTGCGGGGTCCTACTTTCGGAGTAATTCGTTTCCAACCGTCCTGTGCGTCGGGTCCTCGTTTTGAATCCGCAGCGCCGCGCGTCTCCTCTCCTCTCCTCTTCTCCTCCCCATCCTCTTTCTCATCCTGCTCCCTCTCCTCCCTCCACTTCCTCCTCATCATCGTCTTCCCTCTTCGCTTTCGACATACCCATCACACTTGCTGTGGCCCCATGATGAGCCTCACCTACGGCCCCAGTGGTTGCGTCCGCATTCGGCCCCGCCCCAGTTTCGCCAGGCCCCTCACACGTTTCGTGGCCCAATAGGAAGCCCCACCGAATGCCCCAGTGATTGCGTCCGCATGCGGCCCTGCCCCGTTTCGGCGAACCCCTCACGTTTCGTGGCCCCATAAGGAGCTCCACCGTCTGCCCTAGTGGCTGCGTCCGCAGGCGGCCCCGCTCCAATTCGGCAGACCCCTCACACGTTTGGGGCCCCCATGATGAGCTCCACCGAAAGCCCCAATGGCTGAGAAGCCAGGCGAAGGCTGGCAAACCCGTGGCTGCTAAAACGGAGCTCCGGGAAGTTGCTTTTTTCTTCCGGGAAGCAGCCCGTTTACTATTTAGTGCGCTGAGTTATACTAGGGGAATTTGTTTTTTTTCTTCGGGGAAAGCCGTTTTAGCAGCCACGGATTTGCCAGCCCTCGCCCAGCTTCCGAATGGCTGCGTCCGCATGCGCCCCCACCCTATTTCTGCAGTCCTGTCACACGTTTCGTGTCCCCATGTGGAGCTCAACCGAAGGCCCCCGCGGCTGCAACCGCGTGCGGCCCCGCTCCATTTCGGCATCCCTCGCGCGTGTTGTGGTAAGGGAGCTCCACCGATGGGCCCAGTGGCCGGCCGCATCAGCATTCGGCCCCGCCCCAGTTAAGCAGACCCCTCATACGTTTTGTGTCCCCGTTCGGGGGCTCCTCCGAAGGCCCCAGTGGCTGCGTCTGCATGCGCCCCCGCCTCATCTCGGCAGCTCCCTCACACGTTACGTGACCCCATGAGAAGCCCCACCGGCGGCCCCAGCGGACGCATGCGTCTACATGTGGCCCCGCTCCATGTCGGCGGACCCTCGCACGTTTCGTGGCCCCCCCCTTCACATGGGGGCTCCACCGAAGGCCCCATTGGCTGCGTCCGCGTGCTGCCCCGCTCCATTTCGGCAGACCCCTCACACGTTTCGTGGCTTCATGTGGAGCTCCACCGAAGGCCCCAGTGTCTGCGTCCGCATGGACCCCCGCCCCATCTCGGCAGACCCCTCGCACGTTCCGCGGCCCCACAGGGAGCTTCGCGGCGCGTTCGTCGCCGTCGTCCCTCGCGGCGGACACAGTCGCGAACATGCGCGCGTGACTGGATAAGGTTGGGTATGATTTGACCTTTGTTGGCGAAGCGTTCACGGGCACCGCAGGCCCCTCGCAGTACTTATATATCGGAGGTGAGGGGGTGAGATCGAAGTGGAACGGAGAGCCCCCCTACTGGGAAATCGGTTTCGGTTTTGTGTTCGTGCGAGCCGTGCGTGCGGGCCCAGGCGAAGCTGCGTGGGCGGGCGAGAAGAAAGTCTCCTGTGGCTGAGGCGCGGCCGGACCAAATAATTCCCTTCCGGCAGCCGGTGCCGCGCGGTGTCCCGCTGGTGTCCCGCCGGTGTCCCGTCGGTGTCCCGATGATGGAAAGAGCGTGTTCTACCGCTACTGGCGGAAAACCGGGGGGGGTCACTACCGGTTCGAACCCCTCCCCCCCCCCCCCCTTCCGGAAAACCGGGGGGGGTCACTACCGGTTCGAACCCCTCCCCCCCCCCCCAGCTCATCATGAAAAGGGGGGGGGGTCACTACCGGTTCGAACCCCCCCCCCCCCTCGAAAACCGAGTGGGGGTGCGGACAGTGGTGGGGACGGTGTTGGTGGGGACAGTGGTGAGGGGACAGCGGGACAGTGGTGGGGACAGCGGGGGGACAGTGGGACAGTGGTGGGGACGGTAGTGGTGGGGACAGTGGTGGGGACAATGGTGGGAACAGGGGGGACAGTGGACAGTGGTGGGAACGGTGGTGGTGGGGACAGTGGTGTGGGGACAGTGGGAATGAGGTGGAAACACTGGGACAGTGGAGGGTACAATGGTGGTGGAGACACTGGTAAAGGCGGTGGCGAGGACGGCGGTGGGACAATGGGACAGAGGTACAGTGGGGACAGTGGCGGGGACAGTGGGGACAGTGGTGGAAACAGTGGGACAGCTCAGTGGGACAGCGGAGGAGTCAGTGGGACAGTGGGGACAATGGGGATAGGCAGTGGTTGGGTCCGTGGAGACAGTGGGGAGAGTGGAACCGTGGTGGGAACAGTTGTGGGAACAGTGGGGACAGTGCGACAGTGGTGGGGGCACTGGTGGGGACAATAGGGACGGTGGTGGAACCAGTGGGGACAGTGGTGGTGAGGACAGTGGTGCTGGGAACAACAGTGGGGGATGTGATGCGAGCGGTGGTAGGGACCGGGAGTCGTTTGCTGGCGGTGCGTGGGGGGGGGGGGGGTCGAACCGGTAGTGACCCCCCTCCGGTTTTT